GCAAGACATCGGACGAGACCTTTCTTTCAGATGCGGCCCGAGTTTGTCGTCAAGTGATGGCCAGAGATCCCAATAATTTGGTTTTCAACGTCATTGCACTCTCGGGTCGATCATAGGGTCACACAATACTCATTACTTTCACACTATATTTGATAAAAACTCAACAAAACTTTGTATTTTGAAAACAAGTGATAACTTTTATAAAACACAAAATACTTCATTTGAATTAAATTGAAACAAAAGTCATATTTTATTTATTTCAAAATTAATATTAAATAAAAAAAAATATAATTCATTGATGTCTTAGCGTTTATTTAATTGACTCACAATTTATAGTAATGTAAGAAATGAAAATTTATTTTTATTTAAAAACTCGATTGAAATATACTTAAAAATTAAGTTATGAAAAGAGTGTAATGAATGGCAATACTAATGTCTTCGTCTGTCATCATCTCTTCGCCCCCTTTTTCTGAAACAAACCAATTGTTTATATTAAATGTCAATTGAATGGTAAATGAAGTGTCGTATACCTGATATGTGGACCCTTTACGAAACCCCAGTTCACGTGAACAGTCTGTCCCAATATATCGGCCCCATTCAGTGACTCGAGGGCTGCGTTCGCAGACTTATAGCTCTCAAACTCAACCAAAGCGTATCCCTATATATACACACAAAGACAATAATAATCACTATTGGATCTGTTCGTGAAATGCGTACAATCGTATGCATAAGTCAAGTGCCGGTAATATTCTGGTTAATTATAACAACCGGTACTTTACTGTCAACTCGTTTCTAATATTAGACATTATTTAATACCTTCAAGAATCCGGTTCTTCGGTCAAGATTTAAGTGCAAATTCTTGATTTCGCCGAACTCTGCAAACTTGTCGTATATGTCCTCTTCCTGTGCCTCTTCGTGGACACCAGTGATGAATAGAATCCATCCCTCGACAGCTATTAACCACATTTTTCAGTCAAATCATTTCAATTCACTTTCAATTTCATTTTGGTCTCACATTTTTGAGGTCCGGGNGAACACATTTCAAGCATTTACAGTACTTATACTTCTCTATCCTCTCATCCACACACTCTGTCACTCACTTATATCTCAGTTTGTGAGTCAATTGGGATTATAAAATATAATTGTTTAAATACTGTAAAAGTTTTTTAAATGATTAGTTAGTAAAGAGATTTAACCGATATATTAAAAGTCTTAAACCAAATAAGTCGAGTAAATACAATCTTAGCACACAATCTCATTATAGAATATCTTAAAATTTAACTTAATTTATATTATAAAATATTCATAAGTTATGAATCATAATGCATTATAATTACAAGTTACAGTATATTGTAAGTTATATTCAAATAAAATATACTGTAACCAAAAGTAAGAAGAGGACAATTTCAGCTCAAAAGTTCTTTGCGAGAGGTATTTCCCTAACGAAAAGTAAGAGAAGTATAAGTACTGTAAATGCTTGAAATGTGTTCACTTAGTTTGCTATCAAATAATTTTACATAATTTGTATTGCAGTGCTATTACTGTAATACAGAATATTAAACTATAAAACCGCAAAAAACACTAGAGTAAAGAAATATAGTATTTGAAACATTGCATTAAACATAATGATTACAAAACTTTTACATAGTTTTATATGAATGATATCCTATTATAACTTATGTTCAGCCAGATCTACGCAAATTTTAAATTTGTAATTATTTAAAAACTAACCTGATGATCTCAATGAAATTAAGTTTATTTTAAAAATAAAGGTATGGCATTGAGTATAACATAGTTCTCAGCTGACAAATAAAGCTTTACCTACAATACATACACCAGACGACCATTTTTGAAATTGACAATATTGTGAGTTTTAGTCATTTAATTTTTCCATAGAATATCATTGATTTTGGAAAAAATTAAATTCTTTAACTAAATAATTAGTTTTAATTTTACCAAATTAAATAATTATCATATGACCAACGTCACTTCAATTGATTAGAAATATTACAATTGTTGCAAAAAAAAGTCACTATAAGTAATAAAGAGTTAATTCACATTTTTCATTGCAGTCAAGTGGAGTTTTTAAAATGAGCCTTGTAAAATAATTATGTTAAGTGTTGGTCAGTTGGGAACTATGATACATTAAATGTTATTCTTTTATTTTTAAAATAAACTTAATTTCATTGAAATCGTCCGGGTAGTGATATCATATGACTGATATGTCTACTTATGGTAGAATTTACTACTAATTTTCATAAAAAACTTTCACATAGTTTTATATGAATGATATCCTATTATAACTTATGTTCAGCCAGATCTACGCAAATTTTAAATTTGTAATTATTTAAAAACTAACCTGATGATCTCAATGAAATTAAGTTTATTATAAAAATAAAGGTATGGCATTGAGTATAACATAGTTCTCAGCTGACAAATACCTACAATACATACACCAGACGACCATTTTTGAAATTGACAATATTGTGAGTTTTAGTCATTTAATTTTTCCATAGAATATCATTGATTTTGGAAAAAATTAAATTCTTTAACTAAATAATTTACCAAATTAAATAATTATCATATGACCAACGTCACTTCAATTGATTAGAAATATTACAATTGTTGCAAAAAAAGTCACTATAAGTAATAAAGAGTTAATTCACATTTTTCATTGCAGTCAAGTGGAGTTTTTAAAATGAGCCTTGTAAAATAATTATGTTAAGTGTTGATCAGTTGGAAACTATGATACATTAAATGTTATTCTTTTATTTTTAAAATAAACTTAATTTCATTGAAATCGTCCGGGTAGTGATATCATATGACTGATATGTCTACTTATGGTAGAATTTACTACTAATTTTCATAGATATACCCATAGATCTTGGCATATTCCATAGATACGCACTCAAGAATTTTCGTATTACCGTATTACGTCGCATATAGGTGACTGCACTTATAAGTGAATTTCACAGACTTTGCATGTCACCAAAACTACCGCACCTATATCCAGATATAAATACACCCCTTTCGTGAAAACTCAAATATAAGTGCATGGACCTATTTGCGGCGTAATACGGTAATAATACTATGTTATATAAATATTATAATGTTATTCAGTAGATTACTCTTTCTTATATATTTTAGAAAAAATATTCTGTATATATAATTTATAATGCATTATAATATAGTTGATAATATTATACAATTTGTATTTATTTATAATTATATTCAGCATAAGTTATGTTTCATAAATCATAACATTCTAAAAGAATGAATACAAACCAAATTGTGGTAATATTGATGTGAAAATAAGCGAAAGCAGTGATCTCTTTGCGATCCATTTCACATCACATTATTTACAGCTCAACAATGTTTGAAAATGTTTAAAATTTGCAAATTATTAATAATGCATATTCTGTGGGCATTATAATAAATAATTGTTATTTACGATCGAAAAAATATTGACTAAAATAAAAGTCTAAAATACATTTTTGTTTTTATAAAATTTTAAATTGATTCAATAAAAGTAAATACTAATCAAAAATTTCAATTTCTGTGGCGTATAGAGAATATATATTGTTTAATTTCTCAATAAATTTAAAAATCTCATTTATTAATAATATATTTTATAATAATTATAAATTTTTAAATATAAAATATCTTGCTTTCAGCCCAAAAATGTGATTTTTCTATAAAAGGCCTAACATGTATTTATAAGTGAAATAAAAGTTGGTCAAAATAGCTCTAATTATGTGAGTCGTTTGCCCCGAAGTCTCGTACATATAGAGTTAACCGACAAAAGCATTTATTAAAATATAAATCTGGACTATTAATCACCTTCTTTAATACATCTTTCGTTTAAATGTATAATTTTTTTAATGTGTCAATAATTTGTAATATAATTAATAAATATAAATTACAGTACTTACACCGAAGATTGAGTATAGCATACTATAAAAATAAATTGCTATGTTTGGTTAATTTGATTTGAAATACATGTTTAAAAAGCTTATAAAATATTGCGAATTAATAATTACTGACATATTTTGATTAAAAATTTTATTCATTGAGAAAATAATGTTTAATTGTAACAAATTATAATGACTTGTGTTTAAATGGCTATCATATAAATGATATGGGAATGCATTTATGCCGGTATTAGTTCCAATTCTTGGATCAAAGTGTTGGCCGTTTGAAACACTTCTGTTTCCGATAACTCTGATTGTGTTTCCTATTTATAAATGCGTTAATTGTTGTCATTATTCATACAATTGTCATATAAATGATGAATACCTGCAAAATAGTGTTCAAATCATTGAAAGCTTGTTGAGTGCGAGCGATAGAGTCCGGTATCATAGTTAGACACTCATTGATCACTTCCTCCTTATATCACAATACAATCAATACATAAATTAGTTAACAATTATAACAACAAATACAAAATTGATGGACAATTAGTAATAGGTTTGAGTGAAGACCTGTTTGCGTAACTCGTATTCATCTTTGAGTTGACTTTTCATAGTTTCCAAGCGTTTCCTTTCGATCACCACTTCCTTCTCGTAAACCATCCTCTCTTTCGCCACTCTTTTAAACAATGGTTTCAATTAAATCTCAATTCAATTCAATTCAACAACTCTTGAAAACCTCTTCAAAATTCCCGTTTTTATCCTAATTTGGTTAAGTCTCGGATCACTCATCGTTTCCAACGCTTGTCTTCACACAATTGGCGTATATTATTGAATACAGAGTTTTGCTATAATTTTAATAACAATTAAATAATTTAGTTATAAATTCAATCAAAATATATTTCAATGCCTTTTATGTCAAACAACAAACTGTCAATAATTTACTCCTCAAATAAAGTCACGCTTTTTGCGATCATTTATCACTAAAACAATGTCTAAAGTATTGATTAAATAGTAATTCAAAAACAACATAACATGTAATAAATGAAACCCAAAAGTGTTATCATTAATGCCATGCAATATACAAATGAGGGGTCAGTATATGAATAGTCGTTATTTATGTTGAACTCGTTTAACAGCCATTCAGTGAAAGCATTGTTTGTCATAATTTATGTCTAATTTTGTAAACAATTAATTGATTATAAGATATATTGAATTGAATTAAAGGATAATTGTATTGAATGGCAGACGAACTGGTTTTGGGCGCCGAAGACGGCATCGACAAGGAGTTTGAGGACGAAGAGTACGATGAGGGCGACGGTATGTCTAACACACACATCACTATCAACTGATCCCTTAATTGAATGATTGATTTGACAGAAAGTGTGGTCAAAATGAAAGAGAAGGCCACTCGACGGAAGGGACGCGGATTCGGACCCGGTTTGGCACATGTCTTATACATACCATTCATTACTAACCCATTGTTTGTCTCCAACAGAGGGAACGGCGCGCGAAGACATCCGTGAATACGAGGCTATGGATGTCGGCGACGGACACAACGACTCTCCCGGACCTCAAAAATGTGAGACCAAAATGAAATTGAAAGTGAATTGAAATGATTTGACTGAAAAATGTGGTGAATAGCTGTCGAGGGATGGATTCTATTCATCACTGGTGTCCACGAAGAGGCACAGGAAGAGGACATATACGACAAGTTTGCAGAGTTCGGCGAAATCAAGAATTTGCACTTAAATCTTGACCGAAGAACCGGATTCTTGAAGGTATTAAATAATGTCTAATATTAGAAACGAGTTGACAGTAAAGTACCGGTTGTTATAATTAACCAGAATATTACCGGAAAATCAAGAATTTGCACTTAAATCTTGACCGAAGAACCGGATTCTTGAAGGTATTAAATAATGTCTAATATTAGAAACGAGTTGACAGTAAAGTACCGGTTGTTATAATTAACCAGAATATTACCGGTACTTAACTTTCACGAACAGATCCAATAGTGATTATTATTGTCTTTGTTGTATATATAGGGATATGCTTTGGTTGAGTTTGAGAGCTATAAGTCTGCGAACGCAGCCCTCGAGTCACTGAATGGGGCCGATATATTGGGACAGACTGTTCACGTCAACTGGGGTTTCGTAAAGGGTCCACATATCAGGTATACGACACTTGATTTACCATTCAATTGACATTTAATACAAACAATTGGTTTGTTTCAGAAAAAGGGGGCGAAGAGATGATGACAGACGAAGACATTAGTATTGCCATTCATTACACTCTTTTCATAACTTAATTTTTAAGTATATTTCAATCGAGTTTTATTAAATACAAATAAATTTTTCATTTCTTACATTACTATAAATTGTGAATCAATTAAATAAACGCTAAGACATCAATGAATTATAATTTTTTTATTTAATATTAATTTTGAAATAAATAAAAATATGACTTTTGTTTCAATTTAATTCAAATGAAGTATTTTGTGTTTTATAAAAGTTATCACTTGTTTTCAAAATACAAAGTTTTGTTGAGTTTTTATCAAATATAGTGTGAAAGTAATGAGGATTGTGTGACCCTATGATCGACCCGAGAGTGCAATGACGTTGAAAACCAAATTATTGGGATCTCTGGCCATCACTTGACGACAAACTCGGGCCGCATCTGAAAGAAAGGTCTCGTCCGATGTCTTGCAATTGTGTGACCCTATGATCGACCCGAGAGTGCAATGACGTTGAAAACCAAATTATTGGGATCTCTGGCCATCACTTGACGACAAACTCGGGCCGCATCTGAAAGAAAGGTCTCGTCCGATGTCTTGCCAAAGTTCAAAGCACGTGATCCGCGGCCGTCCGTCACAAACAGATACCCATTCCTCTGAACTAAAGCCACAAAGTGGTGGTCGACCTCCGAATCGGCCGCCGGCGCCGATGTCTGGCCCTCTTTGGCGTATATGTGATGAGCGTTTGCTATCTCTTCGTTGGACTCTAATAGGCGTCCCCTCTCTTCGTGCGACAAATGACGAGTCGAGTCGAGAAACGTCTTGAGACTCGAGTTATCCTTCAAAACCTAAGCTACTGTTAACAACCGGTGCCGCACCTAGTCTCGTTACCAAGGCGTGCGCAATACTTACCAGACTGCGTACTTCATTTCCGGCAGCAGCCGCAGAAGCCGTTACCTGAACAGCAGGTATGAAGAGAGTGATGTCAACGACTCGTTGTGTTCATTCACGGGATAGAGAAGAATAAGTGACAGAACGGGTCCGTCGATGAAAGGCAAGAGTTCTTCGTCTAAACCCATCACATCCACAATACGATAGTCTTCAGACACTCCTATGGCCCACAAAAACTTGTTCATCACCTCTGGATTCGACTCAAAGGGCACCCAATGCACGGATTCGCTCATTCTTCTGGAGTGTTCACCGGTTCCTAAAGTGTGGTAAATGTGAAGATCGTTGAAATGGATTCAATGAATAGACGCCAGACTTCAGCACAAGTGCTGCACTCGTGTCCGCACAACAGAAACAACAGACATATTGTCAGCACTCAATACAATCAACGCTTTACTGCAATACAGCTCCACATTCTAGAGACCACTACTTTTATACCCGGGAAACCATTTTCCCGTTATTCCCTTATATTTCACTCAATTCATTGCATTTTAATTGTATGAAAACATTTGTTTTATTATACATTTTTTATAAAAATTTATTTGATATATAAATAAATGTTTTCAAATGACAACTAAAAAATTAATTAATTTATGTATTATATTTCACTTATTAATATTAATAAATTCCGATTAATATGAGTTATTAATATAGTATTAAATTAAATAAATATGATCATATTGCAATATAAAAATAATGCTTAATAATTTATTAATAAGAAATCTAATAGAGTGTTGCAAATGAAATAAGTACAGTATTAGAGGGTAGGGCGGGAATGGGAACGGGAATGGGTAGGGAATGGTGTGTAGAGGTCTATATAGCCTGAATTGGTGTAGTGTTTAGTGTTGTCGTAGAGTTGGTGTGCATTGAGTTGTGAGTGAGTGAGCGGTCGATGAATGCAAGACTCCAT